AAGGAGACCCAGCTCTGAAGAATTCAGTGACTCCCTCAAGCCACATAGTAAACAGGACTGTGACAATTTGAACCCAAATTTTAGAAGTTCTTTTCTTTCCCCGATGCAGCCTGGAAATGTTGGCCTTTACGTAGCACGCATATCCCTGAGAGAAAACATAGCCAGTTTTGGTTTTCTTTTTATCCTGCTGTGACCCTGCCAGTTGTCATCACAAGTAGCCTCGCTGGTGGCAGAGGGCAGCAAGAGACACATGCCCACTGGGATAGAGCCACGCACACAACGACACAGACGTGCACATGCGGTCTCCTTGGAGTTTCCCACTAGAGAGGAGTACTTTGGACTTCCCTCAATTGTGCACACAGCATTTTAATCTATGGAGAGGACTACCAATGCGGAGAGGTCAATGCCATTGAAACAATGTGCATTACTTCTATTTCCCAAGAAGAAAGGGCACACGATGCCATGCAAGGCCCCACAGGGATGCACCAGGCTTTAGTCGGCAGGCAGAACAGAGTAAGGGGGAAGATGCAGGACAGAGCCCTCGCTGGAGTTCACACGAGCAAGGCTGGCTCAAGCAAGGTAAAGAGTTGAGGATTCGCGAGTTTAAATAATCCCAGCAGGCTTTGGGGCATAGGGACTGTCGCTATTTGTCCAGGGCCTGGCTCTGGGTTGATTCAGGACAGGGGCAATATTGGCTTGGGGACTGAGATAAAGGAGGTGGTTTCAGGGTAAGGGCTCTGGATCTCAGGGAAGATGTAAACAACTCCTGCTGCGAGTCTGGCCCTGTAATTAACTGATACAAAGAAGACCTTATACAGAATCTAATAAACAGAGAACAGGGCTGTAGATTCTTTGTATCATGTCAGTTCTTCTGGATGGGGTTCATGCTTCTATCTGCAGCTTATCCCGGCCTCTCCACGTTTCAGTCTCTACTGCCAGGCAACAAACCATCTCAAACCTCTATGGTTTGAAGCCACTGCCGTTTTATTTGTTCATGATTCCGTCGATTCAGAATTCATGTCGCTTTGGAATTCATGACAGTCTTTGGGCTCTGTGCAGTCAGCTGGAATCATTCACTCAGCTGCACTCAGCTTGAAAAAGCCAAGGGGGAGCTTCACTCTCATAGGTGTCTGTAGCACAGCACAGTGTTCTCAGGGTAATTAGACTTCCTTTTGTAAATTTTAAGTGTTTTTATTTGTTTCTGAGAGAGAGCACGAGGGACGGAGGGGCAGAGAGAGAGGTGGACAGAGGATCTGAAGCGGGCTCTGCACTGACAGCAGCGAGCCCGATGCGGGACTCAGACTCAGGAACCGTGAGATCATGACCTGAGCCGAAGTAAGCCGCTCAATCGACTGAGCCCCCCGGGTGTCCCAGGGTAGCTGGATTTCTTGTATGGCCGCTGGCTTCTTGTAGGGAGCATTCTGGGGGGCAAAGGCAGAACTTTCAGGTCTTTAAGATCTTGCCGCATAAGTTATAAGTTACTTCCAGCACATTTTTTTTTTTTGTCAAATCAACTCAAAGTCTGCCCAGATTAAAGGGGAAAAAATTGTTTCTACTTCTTAATAGGCTAAGTGGCAAAGGATCTGCTTATCTTCAATTCACCTCACCTAGTCTGCCTCATGAAAAATTTCATCTTAAGTAACCAGCCAATTTAAAAGAGAGGCCTATTCTACATTGAAAATAAAACAAGTAAACACAAGTTGACAGGACACACTCCAATATCTGTAACAAAACGTATCATGATGCCAGAAACTTTCCAAAATGCATCAAAATGCCAGAAACAAAGCAAATGTATAAGTTCTTGCATGTTCAAGGCGGCCCATTATATTAAAAGAATTAGGAATGAGTAAAAATGAGAACACAACTCCAGTGCAATATAGTAGAGGAAATAAACTGGAGGTTAGAGCAAAATAGAAACATATACATGGATAATGAAAACTACTTAGTAATAAAACATTAATTCATAGAAATCATTCAGTTATAGAAAATTGATCTTCCAGGGCGCCTGAGTGGCTCGGTCAGTTAAGTGTCCGACTTCGGCTCAGGTCACGATCTCATGGTTTGTGAGTTCGAGCCCCATGTTGGGCTCTGTGCTGATGGCTCAGAGCCTGGAACCTGCTTCAGATTCTGTGTCTCCCTCCCCCTCTCATGCTGTCTCTGTCTCTCGAAAATAAATGAACATTAAGAATTTTTTTTTAATAATAAAAAAAAGAAACCTTATTTTCCACTTCCTTATCTTTCGTGAGTGTATTTGGCGCTTTCTGAGAAAATGAGCAGAGCTGGGTGTCTTTAGTTCTGAAGGAGGAGTGTGCTTGAGAAATTCAGGTGGAGTATTATGCAACTGTGAAGAAGACAGCTCTGTGTAACCTATCTGTGTCTACTGACATGTACAGTTTGACATATGTTTATTAGCAGAACTATGTTTATTTGGAGTCTGTAAACCCCATGGATATATCTGGAAGGAGACACACTGAATTTTGAATTTTCAAGTGAGATTTTATAAGGAACAGGCGAGGTACTAGGAACGTTTCCTTTTAATTATAACACACCAGTAGTATTTAAATTTTTTAACCAAAAGAATACATTAATTTAGCACTTAAATAAACATGTGAAAATGTCTTAGGGCACTTTGATAAGCCGGAGAGGGTGAAGCTGTACCTTCTCATGCCTCTCCCTAGGCTAGAGGTCCCCACAGGCCTCTTGATGGGGTGCTGTAAAAAGTAGCCCAGAATGTACCCGGTCAGGAAGGAGCAAGGGCAGAGTTCTACGGACAGAAGCCTGGATCTTAGTGGCATCCATTTGGCCCTCTTACAAATATCCCTTCCAAAGCTGCTTTGTGCATCTGGCTGCATGTTCCAGTGCCAGGCTGGTATGCCCTATCTGCGCATACCCCTCTGGAGGCAGAAGAACCAAGGGACACTTTCAAGTTTGTTTCAAGGGAATTTTACACTTCCGGCTGTAAGGGTACGAGTTTATACCAGGGCAGGGTTTAAAGCTTGGGATGTGGTGGAAGTGATGGGCACCAGAGATCACTCTCTTGGCCTTGGGCCAATGCTCCTGCTAAATAGTGGGGTCTGACCCACCCTCAGGACATTCTGAGCCAGAGCTGTCCTGATAAAGTTTCTGAGCCTGAGAAAAGATACACAATGTATTTTGTCTCTGCCCCCGGCACTTTCTCACTGGAGAAGGGAAACATTCAAGGGCCACTCGGGCAAAGAAAGGAAGTGAGGAAGGAGATGTGCGGCCCTAAGCAAGGTGAATAGAGTAGGAAGGGCTAGAAGGTCTTAGTGGGAGAGCATCATGGGTACCCGGGAGCTGGTTACCATGAACATGATGAGTCTATATGATGATTTTGGGCTATGGGATACCAGTCACCTCTTCCCAGCTGCTTTCTCCTTGGGCCACTGATGAACTGGCCGTCTCTCCTCCTTCCCTCCAAATTGGGGAGCACATCCCAAACTCGTTGCTCAGCTCTGTGGTCAGTTCTGGTCAGGGCATTTTTGTTTTCTAGGAATTCTACCCCCCTCAGAGGTGATACTAGTGGTTTCTTCTTCTGTTTTCCTTCCAGACTTCCTCTGTCATAGGGTTATACGCAAGAGGACTAGTGCAGCACAGGCCTAATTATCTCTAGGTCTCCACCAGACCTGCCTCATTCACCGAAGCCCAGTGCATAACAATTGTCCAGTGAGAGGGCGTGTGCATGAGAGTTACAGAAGCCTAGGCTGTGGTACTGTGTCCCCAAGGTATTGCTCTGCCAGGTCACAGGCTCCCAGAGTGCCCACCCTCGAGCACAACCCTTGTTCAACGGTCAGCGAGGCAGCTCCTGTCAATCACCAGATATGGGGTGGGCCCCAGAATGTTTGCTAGTGGGAGTAGAACCCCGGGCGTCTCTCCTTGTATTAGGGTCTGGACAAGGAAAGTGGAGCTGGACACTCACTACCGCCCAGCAGGTCCACCGTCCACCCTGAGCTGGGAATGGACAGAATGGTCAGAAATGTACCCCTCAGATTTCCTGCCCCTTCATTCCCTCCACTGAACACCTATGGGGTGCCCAGTAAACACTGTGAGATGCTGAACTCAAGGATGACTGACAGAGGGTCTCTGAGTGCCCCCCCGGGGCTTCTCATCTAGTGTGGGGGGGTGCGTACCACAGGAGAGTCCAAGGCCCACACTCCCTCCTGCACACTCTCTTCCTTGCCTACCCTCCAGGTAGTATCATCTGCCCCCTCTTCTGTTTTTCTCCTCTCAGCCTCTCACTTCCACGGATGCTCATTCAATTCTATTGTAAAAATCCAAAGCAGGATGTTTAAAAAAATAGTTTGCCATTTTTATTACACCAGTCATCATTTCCCTGCCTCATGAACAGAGATAGATCTTTCTGGACAATTAGAATAGTATTTTGAACCCTGAGTGCAGCTACCACTTCTAATTTTTAGCTCAACATCTGTAGTCTGAGATTCTTTCATCCACCAAATTATTTCCGGATCTCCTACTCCGGGCCACATTTCTAGGCATTGGGGACAAAGCCGCTAACAAAGCAAAGGGTTTGTTCACAGAGACTTACATTCTAAAGTGGAGGCGGGCTGATGAACAAAGTGCTATAAGATATAATGGCCGCTAGTATGATAAATGTCTTGTAGAGAAATGATGCAGGGTAAGAGGTTAGACATTACTGGCTGAGAGTGACTGCTTTTGTGGAGAAGTCCTCTGTCTTGCGAAATACAGGCCACCGCCCTAAGGCCCTACGTGCTCCCTCCCTGGCCATATCCATGGGGGATCCATTCCAAGACTCCTCCTTCCCGAGTAGATGCCTGAAACTGAGGACAATATTGAACCCTATACAGACTAGGTTTTTTCCTATACAAACATACCTATGATAAAGTTTAATTTATTAATTAGGCAGAGTAAGACATTAACAACTAATAAAATAGAATGTTTGTATCACTTTACTATAATACAAGTTTCAGAATGTCTCTTAAAATATCTTGTACTGTACTTACCCTTCTTGTGATGCTGTGAGATGTGAGAAGTGAGGTGAATGACAGGCACTGTGATGCAGCATCTGGCTACCGTTGACCTGACACTAGGTGGAAAGGAAGGTCATCTGCCTCCAGGCCGAACCACCATTGACACAGGCGACCGAAACCACCACAGGAAGGCAAAGCCATGGATGCGGGGCACTCCTGCGCCCACTGTAAGAACAGAAGAGTGAGAGCTAAGCAATTGGGTGCAGCAGTCTGGGTGAGAAAGGAAGTGGCAGCAGTGACAAGAAGTGATGGAACTGGGGATATATTTTAAAAGCAGAGCCAACATAGTGTCGGCTCTAAGGTCCTGGACCCAACTTACTTGCCAACAGCTATTCGAATAATCGAACTCAAAGCAGAAAACAGAAACCATTTAAAAACACAAGTCCTCGTTGTGAAGCAACGAGTAGCGTATGAACGATGGCCAAGGGAGACTAAAATTAGACATGAGATAGTCCAACATAGGCAAGAACCTGCAGATGGTTGTTGAATGTTGATTTTGCAGAACTTTTGATACTTCACTGTTTAGAAAAATAATTTTTTTCTAGGTATACATCATTTCCCAACTGAAGGAAAATCCCCGTTTGTTTGGTTTCGAAAGAGGAGCCCGTAGGGTCTTTCCTAAATCCGAACGGACTACTAGTTCTCTGGGTGACTGAGATTTAAACAAGCAAGGAAATGTGCTAACAACAAGCGCAAATGGGATCTAGCAGCCACACACCCGCCAAGGAACACCGAATTGTGTGCGTCGGCTGAGTTGCACGGTGATGAATCCTCTAAACTTGAGCAGCTTGGCCCTCTCTGAGAACCGGGTTGTAGCACTCACTCATTCCTGGCTAACGCCGGGCCCATACCCGGGGCTCCACCGCGGTCCCCTGCCTTCACACGCGCGGGCTTGGAAAGCGGCTGGGCCCGCGACCCCGCGACCCCGCGACCCCGCCCGCCCCTTCCCAGGCCAAGTCACAGCCGCTCGGCCCGCCCCGCCCTGGCCACGCCCCCACCCGGAGTCGCCGGCTTTCCCTAGCCACGCCCCCCGGCCCGGGCCGCGCCGGCGCGCCGGCCGCCCCAGTGGCTCTGCGGGCGGAGCTTGCGCAGCCGCCGGACTCCTGCGCGCACCGCCCTCCGCCCCTGGCCACCGCGCGCCTCGGCGGACACGCACTTCCTGCGAGGCCTCCGTGCGCACCTTAGCCGAACCGAGCCGAGCCCGGCCCTGCGCTTCCAAATCGTTCGCCATGGTGGACGAGCTGGTGCTACTGCTGCACGCGCTCCTGATGCGGCACCGCGCCCTGAGCATCGAGAACAGCCAGCTCATGGAGCAGCTGCGGCTGCTGGTGTGCGAGAGGGCCACCCTGCTGCGCCAGGTACGTCCGCCGAGCTGCCCGGTGCCCTTCCCCGAAACGTTTAGCGGCGAGAGCTCCCGGCTCCCCGAGTTTATCGTGCAGACGGCGTCTTACATGCTCGTCAACGAGAACCGATTCTGCAACGACGCCATGAAGGTGGCATTCCTAATCAGCCTGCTCACCGGGGAAGCCGAGGAGTGGGTGGTGCCCTACATTGAGATGGATAGCCCCATCCTAGGTGATTACCGGGCCTTCCTCGATGAGATGAAACAGTGTTTTGGCTGGGATGACGACGAAGAAGACGACGACGACGACGACGAAGATGATTACTAGGCCGGGAGACCCTCGGGCCCCGGGGGGAGGGCCCTGCACGCCGCCATCCTCTCCCCCCCTCCCCCGCCCGGCCCGGAGCCGCCAAGCTCCGTTTCACCCTCAGCAACCCTTCCCTGCCCTTGCCCTCCGACTCCGACTCTCCTCCTGCCCCCCCCCCCCCCGTAGTGCTTGCCTTTGTTCTAGGAATTGTACTCCAGGTACCTGCTGCTGGGGCCTCGCTCTGAAGCCTGCCGCCACCCACCCTGGCCCAGAGCCCCAGGACCCTGCCCTGTTACTTTGGACTGTGTCCTGAGCCCCGGCTATAGGGCAGGCCCCTGTTACAAACTGGTGAGACTACACACAGCCCAGCCCTGCTGACTGCAAGGCCTCCTCCATCTGCCCAGAGACCTACACCGCCACTTCCCCTCCATCCACCACATTCCAGCGACAGACCGCAGCCTTGAAAATAAGGATCAATCTAGAAGATGCCTCAGTTGGTCCTCGGACATTGATTTGGACAGCTCACCAACCCCGGAAGGGGCCAGTCTTTCAACCTGGTTAGTTCTCCACCTGCTCCCAGAGGCCTCCCCTGCCCCACCAGGTTGCTGCAGGGGCCTAATGTGCCCCGCAGCTGATTGTTGGCATTTCTTTTCTCCTATGCGCCAGTTCTGCACAGCTGTCCTTTTTCCTTCAAAACTCCAGCCGTCCCACAGATGTGTGCGTTTGGACAAAAATACTGAAAACAAAACAAACCAACAAAAACAGGCACTCAGCCCAGCTTCTCAATACCACCTGGAAAAAAAGCATTTACGTTCTTTTCAATAAACATCAAGCACTACGAAAAAAAAGAAAGGAGTGTCTTTTAATGGTTAAGTGCTATGGTTGGCCTCTACCAGTCTCACCCTAACTCCCATTATTCCCACTGAGATCAGGAGACCTCATTGAATCCCAGTGTTCACCCCTGTTGTCTTTAGGCTACAGAGGGCAGTGGCCCTGGCAAGGGGAGTGAGTGTCCTCTGGGGCCTCCAGGGTGGCGTGGGTAAAGGGTGGTTCGGCAGGTGTCACACTGTCCCAAAGTGGAACACTTAACGAGGGTGAAAGGGGGCACTATTAATAATTAGAGTGGGGCAGCAGGCGTACATCCGGACACCTAACGTGTTACTATCTTCCAGAGCCTTTGGGTTCCTTCCTCAACACTGCCAGGGAAATTCTGCCCCTTGGGCCTTATTGGCTGTGGGGTGCTATTGGGTTCAGACTATAATTAACAAGGTAGCACATTGTTTTCATGCCCCCTTTCAGGTGCTTGACCTAACATTAAATCCTAAATCCTGGGTGAGTGTACACATAGTAAATGGAGCATGATCTTAGCATTTCATCACCCCGGGTGAACAGTTTTCGAATCCCCACCCATATATGTGTCCCACATTGCCACCTATAGAAATTGGCAAGATGCCTGGCTATCTCCTGAACTAGACCTTGTACTGCTCCCTGGGGTATGCTGGGATCTCTTTGCGGACCTGGAGGGCTCAGAGGCATTGAGGGAGCCGAGTGGGTGCTCATTAAACTGAAATGTTAAATCAGAGGAGTTTGGTTGTGGGTTTTGGGGGGTTACCTTGGTCACCCAGGAACATTTAAGAGAATGTGACGGGTTCAGAGTTCTCATTTACATCTGCCCAAATGTGCTCATTGTACGGTGGCTGGAGGCAGCCGTACCTTAAGATCTCCTATTTAGGTAATAAACTTCCCTATGGCATAAGACCTTTTGAGGCTGGTTATTCTTTTATTTGTACTGGCAAACCTCACAGTGTTAAATGAGACACTGGTTGTCATACTGGTCACCACACAGGTATGGATCTATTGAGATCGCACCCATGAGGTACTTAAACCTGCCCCCGCCACATGGTGAGCGCTCAGTACACCCAGTCTGTGACTCCCAGACCGGGGATTGGAAGTCGAACAGGCTCAGGGAGAGTAGAAATGAGAGAATAGTGAGACCCCATTTACTCTTGAGGCCTAAGAGGTGGACAGTTTACTTGGTAAATAAGTAAAGCTGAGGGCAGGAGTGATTTCTCTGGCCCAGGAATGTTGTTTCTGGAGGGTAGGGATGCAGGGCTATGGCTTAGCAAAGGAGGTTGAGGCCCATACGGGGGGTAGATGTGGGAAAGTGGTGGGCAAGAGATGAAAGCTAGGGAAGGGACCCAGGAAGACCGCAAATCACTCGTTCGTAATTATCAGTGGTCCAGGTATATTGAGAGGAGTCAGTGATACGGTGGTGAACGAAGGTGCTTGTTGCCCTGTCAGGATTCTAGGTTATTGTTTTTATGGTGCCTTGGGCCAGAACTGGGATGGTATCTAGCTACAGATAAGGTCTAGCAGGAGAACCTGGACAGTGATTAGATCTGGGAGCAAACTTTTTTGGTGTGGAAGTTGGAAGACACGAGTAGATGAGATCTGTTCCCCACCAGCAAATCGAGTGAGGATATGCTCTGTGGGGAAGGGAGAGATCTCTGAGTAGCATCCACCAAAGCTAGGCCAAGGAGTTTCTGAGATCTGAAATGCACATGTCCTCGCACGCGTGAGCTCACGTGAGCTTGCTCTGAGTGTGTGGATGTGTATGGGGGAGGGGGCGATATCCTTCCTGTATGATGGAGAGCAGTCTGTGCTGTGAGCTGTAGAGAAATGTGAGAATCTGCCTACCTTGAGCAGTACAGTTTTTTTGTAAGGACTCAACCACCCAAGGTGAAGTTCATGTTACTGGCATAAAGCAGAGCAGAAGAGGATGGATAAATAAATAAGCAGGTCTAAAGATAAAAGCACCACTTGGATGTAAACTGTTAAATGTAGGTGGAAATGCTGAAATAGCAGATATGAACTTCAGACCCCTGAATTTTCATTTTGGTCGTGCTGGCTTTAACACGGTCGCTGACGTTATGCAATCAAGGAAATGATATTAATCATATTAAAGGTCATAATCATTCAATCATGATAAATCTACCGTTGTATTTTAGATTTCTTTAATCATTTGAATCGGTAAACACTGCCATCTCATTCTGCGTTGCTGTGTTTTGCAAGATGGTATATAAAGCTAGAGATACCATTATGCACACTGTATTTGGTCATTTTCTGCTATTGCAACACAGTAAAAACATTAGCAATTTGGAAGTAGGGGGAAGAGAGGGAGACATCTTGAAATTGGTGGAACACTTGTTTGTTAACAAATGAGTTCTAAAAAAAATTTCTAGGTTCTTAAAGAAATTAAAGCTAATAAAGGGGCCTCAATTCAAGGTCCTGGAAATGTTTTCCTTGATGGGTGATTAGGGTGAGGTAATTGTATAAAGCGTATATATTATTTGCTTTGAGATACGAATTTTGTTACAGTTGTGTTTACTGTGTCTGGTAGTTTGCATTACTGAGTCGTTCAAGTATATTCCTTACAGTCTTATGACCATTTAATTCTAAAGGTAGATACAGTGAATTGGTTGGTGGCCTTCGATAGTGCTGGTAACCACCTACTTCCCTTAATGAAGATCTCATTATCCCCTTTTCATTTTTCTTCCTCCTGTCTGAAATGCCTCTTAAGATTTTTTTTTAATCTTCAGATGTTCTGGTGTACAGAGACTTAAAAACAAAAAACAAAAAACCATGCAATTACCCTGGGATCGGTAATAGCTTGCTTGAAACCATTATGAATAGCATAATAAGATTTGTTCATGGAGCAGAATCACTCCTCTGGATAAGTGTGTGTGTGTTGGGGGCGGGGGGGAGGTTCTGGAAAGAAGATTTCAGAATAGCCAGACGTGTATATTTCCCATTCACTCCTTGGGTCAGTATCTAAGATGTGATCAATAATAAATTTATTTTTCTTATGATACTATTCACAGTATTTACATACGTCCTCCTTTCCCCTCTCCAAATGATGACGTATTTATTGCATCAGCAAAATTGCAGTAGTGTAAGTCTTATATTTTAGCCAAAGTCTTTATATTGTTAGTTTAATCGAATCGAACAGCCAATTCAGAATCAACCAGTCAGCTCCATATAAAAAAACTGTCACATGACTGTTTTTGTGCCTCATTTTAAATCTTTCATTTTAAAACAGATAATACCAATAAAGGAAAGCAAAGGCAATTATATTTCAGTGGAAATTGAGATAATTGTGATATTTCTGATTTATCTGTTCCCTAGGCACAGATAATTGCATTGCCACACAGAAATGTTGGATTTTTAACATATACACAGGTAGAGAGAATAATGTAATGAGCACCTTAAGCCATCTCCAGATTCAAAACCTACCAATAGTTTTGCTTCATCTATCCCTTTTCTGTCTTCTAATTTTCATGGAATATTTTAAATCAAATCCCAGATATATCAATATTTCAGCATGTTCCTCTAACAGATAAGGTTTTTAAAAACAGTCCATAATAATCATCATCACATGTATTAAAATTAGCAATGACTCATTAACATTTAATACTCAATCCATAATTAAGTATCTTTTAAATTATAAATAAAAATGTCTTTCTAATTATTTGCTTGAATCAGTTTTCAAAAAATGTCAACATGTTGTCTTTGGTTTCTATATCTCTCAATCTTCTTTTAATTGGTAAGTTTCTCTCCACCTTTTTCTTCCTATAATTTATTTGTTGATGAAACTGGGTCATTTGTCCTATGGAATTTCTTATATTCTGGGTTTTCTTTCGTTTTTTAATATCCTTGCTCAATTTTCTCTTGAGTTATTGATGTTTCTTAATTTTTTGGAAGCTGCTTATTTATGAGGGATCTGTAATATAGGTTGTAAATACTTACGCCCAGTTTGCCACTTGCCTTTTTATTTTCTTCATATATTTCCGGCCATTGTGAAAATGTTTACTATGTTTCCATTTATTTCTGCTCTCTCCTCCCATCTCTGTGCTTCCTAGTTTATATGCTTAACATTCTTTCTCTTAGTGTTTATACTTTTAAATAGTGTATATACCTCTATTATTTTTCAGATACGAATGGTCTGTTTTGACTCTCAGCCCTGAAAGATGAGGAACTGAACATGCACTAATTCTATTACCCTATCGACTTTGTAAGTTACATCGTCTTTATGTTGTCCGTGTTTGTAACATTTATGTAGTTTTCTGTGACCATCGTCCCTACATGTGTTATGATCTTAATATATCTGATAAATGAAATAATTATTATCATGTTCAATTTTCACAGCCTCTTTTGGTGAGCCAGGTTCCTCCCCCACTTTGTAGTTGCTTCTTTTTAAAAACAAAACAAAAGCAAAACAAAAACCCCAAAGGCTCCCAGAACTATATGCCCTGAGTTTTTGAAGGCAAACAGTTTTGTAATGGATAGAGTTTGTGGGTCAAACTTCCTTTTCCTTCACTGCTCTACTAACTTTTAACATTGAATGTTATTTTGCAGAAGTCTGAGGTCACCCTATTATTTTTCACTCATAAGTGATTTGATATTTTTCTTGAGTTCTCAGATTTTTTTTTTCTTTACATTGGGACATGGGATATCTGAGGGTTATTTATTGTTCGTTATGTTTTGTGGAACCTGGTTTGACCATTTAAAATATACGTTCAAGGCCTGATGTGTTTATGCAAAGCTATCTTAATTTATTTCTTTGAATGCCTGTAATATAGACTGATAGTTATTTATGCTCACTCCCCCTTGTACCTACCCTCAATATTTTAAATTTTCTCAGAAATGTTTTCTTCATTTTTATTTTTTTTCTGCTTACTTTTATCAATCTTGTTTGATGTTTTTACAGTGGTTTTAAGAGTCTCCATCCTTATTTGTGTTGCCTCCAATTTGGCATCATTTCTGTGATAGTTTTGTTTTTCTTCCACATCTTTGCTGGCTACTACCAGCTCCTGATTTACCTTCTACTGACCCCTGTGTATTCCTGAATCTCATCTCTCTGATTTTTTCTCTTGTTGTGCAACAAAGATTCCTTTTTAAAGTGGATGGTGATATGAGATATTATGATACGACATGTCAGTGATATGAAGTTACATCTGTTTCCGGCAGTATTTTTCTAGGAAGTGTTATTCACCACCCCCACCCCTGTGGCAGCGTTCCAGGGATGCTTCAGGATCTTGTCTACTTTGTAGTAATGCTTCTCTTCCTCGGTAACCATGGTCAGCCTTTGTCTTCTTGAGTCCAGTCCCACAATAATGTTCTCTGGCACAAGTAATTCAACATCAGTGGTTCGTACCTTGTGTACTTCCCATTTTCCGGAGATGAGACTAATCTGACCCCCTATACCTTTGTTTTAACATTTCATGGGTCATTTAAGTGGCGCTCTCTTGGTTTCATTGTAACTGAATGTGCCTAGATGATTTCTGACACCATTTTCAGAATCAACATCCTGTACTTTCTGTTCTCACCCCTGCAGCTCAGTGGTTTTGATGTCTCGATCACCTGAGGTAGTCCATGTTCCCAGGAAGTGTCAGGCTAACTTTTGAGAGGGATTGAAAAAGACTCAACTCTCTCCATGTTTTAGCTATTGTTGAGAGTGCTGCTATGAACATTGTGGTACATGTACTCCTATGCATCAGCATTTCTGTATCCTTTGGGTAAATTCCTAGCAGTGCTATTGCTGGGTCCTAGGGGAGTTCTATTGTTAATTTCCTGAGGAACCTTCACACTGTTTTCCAGAGGGGCTGTACCAGTTTACATTCCCACCAACAGTGTAGGAGGGTGCCCGTGTCTCCACATCCTTGCCAGCATCTAGAGTTCTCTGATTTGCTCATTTG